TTTTAAACTTGTTTATTAGTAGAGCATTTCCGAAGCTCTAGCTTTGGTGAACTATTTGTGGCTCTGTGCTCGATATTTATTTAATGCCTGCTGTAGTGTATACCTTATCGAAGTTATTCAATTTGACAAAATGGCCATAACGGAACAATAGAACTATATGCTGGCAAACATTTTTTTTCGTTCGTTTGTTATTTGTTTAATTTTCAAATAACAACAATGGATGCAGTAACGCCATCGACAGTAACCGTATCCGGTGATAATGGTAGGAAAAAAAACGAATGGCGTTGTTACAAAAAATATGTGTATAAAAGGAGCTATTGCAACAAATTCCTGAAAATGAAAAACAATCAATATTCAGAAGGGGGTTTGGCTTCTTTATATTCACACAGAGAGGAGGGAGGGATGTCCTTATTGGCTAAGGGGAAGCAAAATTTGTCAATGAAATTAACTGCTTAGAAGTCCATTGCTTTTTGAAGACTTTAAAGGGAGATAAGCTATTTTCAGGTCCAGAGTAGGAATTTTTGTAGTCCAGACTCTGCCTGCTATGCTTGTCCTACCAGTATTCAAGATTTTCATTACATGTCCTTATTGGCTAAGGAGAAGCAAAATTTGCCAATGAAGTTAACTGCTTGGAGGTTCTTTGCTTTTTGAAGAATTTAAAGGGAGATAAGCTATTTTCAGGTCCAGAGTAGGGATTTTTGTAGTCAAAAGAGGTCCAGACTCTGCCTGCTATGCTAGTCCTAGAAGTATTCACGATTTTCATTACATGCCCTTATTGGCTAAGGGGAAGGAAAATTTGCCAATGAAGTTAACTGCTTCGAGTTTCTTTGATTTTTGAAGAATTAAAAGGAAGATACAATATTTGAAGGCCCTGTATAGAGATTTATGTAGTCACAAGAGGTCCAGACTCTGCTAGTAGTCCTGCTATACTAGTCCTACCAGTATTCACGATTCTTTTTACAAATACTTATTTAAAAGTAATTACAAAGAACACTCTTCAATTTTTAATGGGTACCAGATTTTATCTCTCTTTGTCCAACCTTGAACATTCCCAGTTCCATTTCTTTTATAATTTCACCATTATTTTTGTTTGTTCAAGGACCCCAATTAAAAACAACAATAGAAAAGCCAGCAATAACAAAGGATACACAAAACAAAAAGGAGTAACATGCCATTATTATATTTTCTTTGTGAACGATTTGTGCAATTGGGCGCCACTTTTGCAATGAATTGTGTGTTATTTCTTTTCGCCCGTTTTATTTCCCATTTTTTTAATCAGGGTTAACAAAACAATGGTTTCGCACAAAAAACATAATGATTTAACATTTGAAGTTCACACAAGTGTATGTATAATATGTTATACATATGTGTGAAATACATATGTTTATGAATACGCCGAAACAGTGGCATATAAAGGGAGAGATAAAAAAAAACCGCAACAAAGTCAAACGCCATAATTTTTACATTTTTTTTTTTAATTTTATTGAATGAAAGCAAAAAAGATCGGAAATAGCAACAAATTTTAGAATAACTTTAGATTTGTACGAATTGGTCACCTTTGGCACGAGTTATGGACTTCAAACGGCCAATGAAACCGTCACACGCTGCCTGAATGTTACTCTGCGGTATTTTGGCCCATTCCCGGCGAAGCGCTTACTTCAGGTGATCAACACCTTGGTATTTTATAGTGCCAACCTTGCCTTCCAAAATATTCCAGACACAATAGTCCAACGGATTGGCATCCGGAGATTTCGGTGGTCATTGTGCGCTGGAAATGAAGCGAGGAACCTCATTTTGTAACCATTCTTGGGTGGCGCGTGCTGAGTGGGATGGTTCTTAGTCCTGTTGGAATGTCCAAGGTCTGCGTTCAAAAGGTTTGCGTGCCCAAAGATTCAATACACCCTCCAGAATATTTTCGCGATAATATTCTGCATTTATTCTGATGCCACGGACATTTAATACGAGCGGAGAGCGACCATCGGCTGTTATGGCGGCCCACACCGTCACCATGGCCGGCGCTTGAGTTCTGGTGGCCAAGCGAAGGTGCACATTTTCAGCTGACCTCTTTGGCAAGTAAACACGATCATTTTATTTACCAACTGCTGAACAAGGAATATTTTCTCATAGGAGAAAACCAAATTCGACAGCAACTCTTTAGCTCTTTTGAGTCCAATTTCTTTTTGTTGCGGTGTAAGTTCTTGCACTTTTTGGAATTTCAATGGCTTCACCCCGAGCTCATTTTTAAATATTTGCCGAATGGAATATTGCGATATGTTCAGCTCACGAGCCATTTTTCGGCCACTGCGATGCGGGTTTCGATAAAGTGGCTTTTTTACTTTTCAAACCATTTCTTCTGATGTTTTCTTCCGTCCACTTTCTTGACGTCGGTCTACGTTACCAGTTTCACGGTAACGAGTGATGGCACGAGACACAAAAGATTTATTCACGTTTAAATGCTGGAGTGCTGTAACGATAGCGGCTTGTAGTTTCCCAGCTAAATATAAAGAGATCACACTATTACGCTTGAATTCCAACCCAAATATTTTTTTCTGGAAAATTCTCAGTAAAATGCTTTTCTACGCTTGTAAAGAATATAATGAGGTATCACTGGAATAATTTTAACAGCTGTCGGACGAGTGGTTTAGAAATGACTGCAGTCTGAAATTGGTTGCAGTTTTTTCATCTCACCCTGTAAGAATTAAATGAAGCAGAATAATTTTTAAATAGACGAACTACATCTATAAAGGGCCAGTCAGACTCTTTATTGAAATACTGACAGAAATACCAGCAAAACTACCTTAAGGAGTCTATATACATGGCCATGCTGAAGGGGACCTCAGACAGTCTATTTCCATAGACCAGCTGAAGCTCGGGCTTCAGGCAGTCTATTTTCATAGACTAGCTGAAGCTCGGGCTTCAGGCAATCTACTTTCATAGACTACCTGAAGCTCAACCTTCAGGCATAGTCTATTTTCATAGACTAGCTGAAGCTCGGGCTTCAGGCAGTCTACTTTCATAGACTAGCTGAAGCTCGGGCTTCAGGCAGTCTACTTTCATAGACTAGCTGAAGCTCGGGCTTCAGGCAGTCTACTTTCATAGACTAGCTTAAGCTCGGGCTTCAGGCATAGTCTATTTCCATAGACTAGCTGAAGCTCGGGCTTCAGGCATAGTCTATTTCCATAGACTAGCTGAAGCTTGGGCTTCACGCAGTCTATTTTCATAGACTAGCTGAAGCTCGGGCTTCACGCAGTCTATTTTCATAGACTAGCTGAAGCTCGGGCTTCACGCAGTCTATTTTCATAGACTAGCTGAAGCTCGGGCTTCACGCAGTCTATTTTCATAGACTAGCTGAAGCTCGGGCTTCACGCAGTCTATTTTCATAGACTAGCTGAAGCTCGGGCTTCACGCAGTCTATTTTCATAGACTAGCTGAAGCTCGGGCTTCACGCAGTCTATTTTCATAGACTAGCTGAAGCTCGGGCTTCAGGCCGAGTCTATTTTCATAGACTAGCTGAAGCTCGGGCTTCAGGCCGAGTCTATTTTCATAGACTAGCTGAAGCTCGGGCTTCAGGCATAGTCGACTTCCATAGACGAGCTGAAGCTCGGGCTTCAGGCAGTCTATTTTCATAGACTAGCTGAAGCTCGGGCTTCAGGCAGTCTATTGCCATAGACTAGCTGAAGCTCGGGCTTCAGGCAGTCTATTGCCATAGACTAGCTGAAGCTCGGGCTTCAGGCCGAGTCTATTTTCATAGACTAGCTGAAGGGCCGCTGGCCTCAGGGAGTCTATTTCCATTGAAGGGGACCTCAGGCTCCTCCAGACTCCTTATGGAGTCTATTGCCATAGACGAGCTAAAGGGCCGATTTTATGGATATTTTTTTCTGCAATATTTTTTTCTCTTTGGCGCAGGGTATTTCAAATGTATCTCTTCCTAACTTTCGAGGATTTTTAAATATTTAAAAAATGTTGTTTACCCCGAGGGTTCGATGTTAACGTGTGAATATTTTTTTCAGTATATTTTGTGTTATTTATGTATTTTAATAAAGATTCCCTCCAAAAAAGCAACCAAAGCATTGCAGGGCTATGGAACTATATATGTGTGTGTGTGTGTGTTTGTATGTTCGTTTGTATCTGTAGTTATGCTAAAAAATCCCTCTCCGAACGGAAAGAGCTTAAAATTATTACACACTTGTATTCGTATAATTAGAAAGGACTTCACACAGGGGCAACAATTAAAACCAGACAATTACAAAAACAAAAGCAAAGCAAAACAAAAACAACAACAACAACATGCATTCAACATTCATTTATTGTTGTACAACGAAAGTTGTACATTTTCACAAACACACACACTCACACACCATGGCATAGACAATTGAATCCTTTGGTGAATGTCCTTGTTAAACATATTTAAATTTTGTTGTTACCTCCAAAATCCTCACCCCCAATCCTCTCACTTTTTTAGAGTATTTGTTAGCAAGGATAATATTAAACGTTGTTATAAGTCTATTATTATATTTTCTCTTTGTGTGTGTGTATGTGTGTGCGTATGTATTTGTGTGATTGTTTTGTTTTCCAAGTGTTGAAATATATTATTTTTATCTGCAAGAGTTGTTATCTACATGTGAATATATGTGTGTGTGTCCGTTGCTCCATAACATAAGGTCCCTTGCATTCACCATTTGTTCCATGTCCTCGAAAGGGCAAATTTGTTTGCTCTCTTTTCTCCTGGCCATGCTACACTTTCAATACCTCCCCCCCATCCAAAACCCAGTGGAATATTCAAAATAATTATTACAACAAGTTACGAACGCTGTACCCTCCTCAACATTCAGAATTTTATAATGTCCGTAATTTACCCTTTTCTACACAGACACTCTCTCACACACACACACGCACATTAAATGTTTAAAATAATTAAATATTTAAAATGATTTTTTCTTATTTTTGTTCTTTTTTTTTTCTATTTTTTTCCTTTTGTTTTTGCCTCTCCTTTCATTTAGGGACTGGTGCAGATGCTCTCACATCACAGTATGCCCCAACGCTTAATCCACTGACCAACGGTGCCTATGCTGCCGCGACCGCACCACTTGCGGCTACAGCACTGCAGGCAGCCGCTGCTGGTGTGGCTGGAAAACAAATTGAAGGTAAGTACACGGGTTAAGATTATGTTGTTGTTGTTGTATATTGGTGCTATGGGAAATTTTAAATTTGGGGAAAAGAAGTTGTTCATCGAAGGAAAATCCAGGAAATTTTGTTTTAAAATATTTATCTATCCTTTAAAGTTAAAATACCTTTAAGTGATCTTCAATGGATCGAGTGAAGTCAAACAATTTTCATTAGACAGTCTTCTGTAGTAAATTACCACTTTATTGTCTTTTATAGACAGACCAAAAGTCAAGAGACTTTTTAAAGCCTTCTCTCTATACAAAACATACTTCGTAGATCCTCTGGAGACGGAAGACTCTTCAAACGACTTCTTGACTCAAAAAACTCAATAGCGGTCATTCAAAGTTCTCTCGAGACAAAATACCCTTCAGAAATTTGTATTGGAGTCACTTTAAAAGTCTTCTAGAGACAGAGAACACCTCTAAGGGCCAGATACAGGGAGTCTATTGCCATAGGAGAGCTGAAAACCGGCTTGAGGGAGGGGGTTGCCATCAAAGAGCTGAAGGCCCGGCTTTAGGGAGTCTATTGGCGCAGGGTAATCCATTCATCTTCTTCATTGGTCATGTAACCCCTTATTGTTTTCTATAGGCAGACTAAGAGTCAAGAGACATTCTAAAGCTTTCTATTTACAGAACATACTTCGAAGATCCTCTGGGGACGGAAGACCCTTCAATCGAATTCTTGATTCAAAAAACTCCATAGAGGTTTTGTAGAGAAAAAGGGTCATTCAAAGTTCTCTCGAGACAAAATACCTTTCAGAAATTTGTAAATACTGGAGTCACTTTTAAATACTGGAGTCACTTTAAAAGACTTCTAGAGATAGAGAACACCTCTAAGGTCTTCTTGAGACAAAATACCCTTATAGGGCCGGCTTCATGGAGTCTATTGCCATAGACGAGCTGAAGGCCCACCTTCATTGAGTCTGTTGCTATAGACGTGCTGATGACCTGACTTCATCGAATCTATTGCCATAGACGAGCTGAAGGGCCGGCTTCATTAAGTCTATTGCCATAGACGAGCTGAAGGCCCACCTTCATTGAGTCTGTTGCTATAGACGTGCTGATGACCTGACTTCATCGAGTCTATTGCCATAGACGAGCTGGAGGGCCGGCTTCATCGAGTCTATTGCCATAGACGAGCTGAAGGGCCGGCTTCATCGAGTCTATTGCCATAGACGAGCGGAAGGTCCGGCTTCAGGGAGTCTATTGGCGCAGGGTAATCCATTTTCATCTCCTTCATAGGTCATCTAGACACAGATGACCCTATAAAAGTCTTCTAGAGAATGAAAATTCTAAAGGTCGGAATAGGCCTTTAGAGACAGGATGTCTTTCAGATATTTTATAAACAGAAAATACCTTCAAAAGTATTTCAGAGAAGGAGAGACCACATCTTAAAGACCTTCCAGAGGCAGCAGGCCTCCCAAGGTTCTTCCTTCGTAGGAGAAAAACGTTTCAAATGTCGTTTAAAAGCAGAAGTCTCCTTAAATAGTCTTCCACCGGCTGAAGGTCCTTAGAAGATAATTTATAGCCCGAAATTTCGATGGCTGAAGGTCATTATTAGGTCTTCTTAAGATAGAAACCACCTTTAAAAGGGTATGGGACAGGAGACCCTTCGAAGGTATTGATGAAGACTTATTAGCTATTTGTTTTAGGCGGGAGATCCTTTGAAGGATTTCCAAAGGCAGAAGGTTTTTCCAAGATCTTCTTAAGACGTAAACCCCTATGGGAACAGACTGGCTGAGGTTCTCGTTTACAGAAAGGCCATCAGCAGGTCGTCTATAGAAATAGACTCGATAAAGGTCTTCAGCAGCTCGTCTACAGAAATAGACGTCGTGAAGCCGTGCGCAATATTCAATTTGGCAAATATTGAAAAATGAGCTCGGGGCAAAGCCATCGAAATTCGAAAAAGTACAAGAACTTACACCGTAACAGAAAGAAAATAGACTCAGAAGAGGTAAAGAGTTGCTTCGCTTGACCGAAAATGGTGAACTGTCGAATATATGTTTCTCCGATGAGAAAACATTCGTTGTCCAGCAGTTTGTAAACAAACAAAATGATCGTATTTACTTGCTAAAGAGGTCAGCTGTTTGAAGGCCATAATTCGACCAATTCTAAACTTATTCTAAAATTTTATGCTATTTCCGACATTTTTGCTTTCCTTTAATTGAATTGAAAAAAAATAAAAATTATGTCGTTTGACTTTGTTGCAGTTTTTTCATGTCACAATTGTGTTGTGTGTTTTTTTTTTTTTCTAATATTTCTCTTTTTACCATTCCAGGTCCCGACGGCAGTAATCTCTTTATTTACCATCTACCTCAGGAATTTAATGACACCGATCTCGCTTCAACATTTCTGCCATTCGGTAATGTCCTATCGGCCAAAGTGTTTATTGACAAACAGACAAATCTATCCAAATGTTTCGGTTTCGTTTCGTACGACAATCCCCATTCGGCTGGAGCAGCCATCCAAGCGATGCACGGATTTCAGATTGGCACCAAGCGGCTCAAGGTGCAACTAAAACGTTCCAAAGATGCGGCAAAGCCTTATTAGACTTAATGAGAATGCGTATGTGTGTGTGAGAGAGAGAGAGAGAGAGAGTGTGTGAGAGCGCGGTTAAGAAATTAGGAGAAACACAAAAACAAAACAAAAAAATTAAAAATGTAGTTAATTTTGTAATTTAACTAAGACAAAAAAACACAGAAAAAACAACAAACAAACAAATGTTAAAAAAATTCATTCTAAATGTAATATGAGTGCCTTTAGTCTTAAATATTAGAAGAAGAAAAACAAAAAACATAAATATATAGAAGTAATATTAACAAATAATTAAATAATAATTTAAATAACCAAAGGACCAATAATTAAATATAAAATGTTTTCTTTTTTGTTTTTTTTTTATTTTTTGATTTTAATGTTGAAATATTTATATACATAAATGACACATTGTTTGAATAAAGTTAAATATATCTATACAACCACAAAAGAAAAAAAAAAACAAGAAAAACAACAGCAACAAAGAAATATGTAGTAAAACCAAAGAACATGAAAAGAGAAAAGAAATAACTAAAGAAAGGCAAAAATCGCCAGAGAAAAAATAACAAAAAAAAATACAAATGCATAAGTCATATCTTATTAAAAATTAAAAAGAAAAAATATTGACTTTTTCAAAAAGTGGTCTTGGGTTTCATTTTATCCGATCCCATCGCCTTGAGTTGGTACTGCTTTAAACAAAATCCTGTTTTTGTTATATTTCATAAATTTTAATGTTATATTTTCTCATAACCCCAAAAATCTACAACTCCTCCAAAATTTAAAGAGCATATTTTTTGTGGTCAACAAAAAACGAAAAAAAAAAAATAAATATTTGTTGTTTATTTTTTAATAGTTTTTTTAAGTCAATAATAAATAATAATACACCTAAACCTATAGTTTACATTTACTCATATATATTCTACATATATATATATATATATATATATATATATATATATATAAAAAATAAATCTATAAATATACATATATGTATTTCAAAGCCAAATAGTTAAGTAAATTTTGTCATAAATTTTTAAATGTGTTAGACGCAAATTACAAAAAATAAAAATAAAAAACAAAAAGATCTATATCATTTCTAATTGAAAAACAAACAAAATATATCCCCACCCCACCCTTGTCATATACCTACCTACATATATATACATTTATGTGCAATTATTTATAAACATAGAAATGGAAAACACATAATAAAGTGTGAAGTATAAAAAATAATAAACTTATCATAGAATTTTGTTTAGTTTTAAGTTAGCAAAACAAAACAAAAACAAAAAAGAAAGAGGAAGAAATAAATATTTACATTCTAATATTGTTAACCGGCAAAAAGGATGAAAAATGATTGTTTTATTTAGCATGTTTGCTTTCAGAAGGCAATATTTGATCTGAAAGTAGATTGGAATTAAAAAGGTAAGTAAAAGAGACGGAACCGAACTTTTGATACTCTCCAACATTAGGAGGGAAACACGTATAACGACTAGGTATTTGAACAAGATATGTAAGCATTCCATTTAAAATGTAAAATTCTGGAAATGGATCCATTCTTGTTTTTTTTAATTTCGCAAAAAGCATTTTATTGGTAATTATCAAAATACAAATATGGAGAAGTACCTCAATATATTGGATTTTATTACCGACAAATATCAAATAATTTCGTCGAAAATATGGCCAACTAAAATCATAAAAAACTGAACTGCCTGCTGGATTACATTATTTATTATTACTTATAACGATCTTTAAGTACAAAATTTAAAACACTTCCGTTCAAAAGTCGGAAGCTGGTTTAAAAATGGCTTCCATACGATATTTCTAGTATGGTCTGAAACGTTTGGTATAGCAGTTTTCTAATAGTGTTTCATTTATTGTAATAGCCTTATTCTAACAAATTAAGGCATATACATATGTTCCTCAAATCCCACTCTAATTATATCCCCAGCCATATGGGTAGAAAGGGTGCGTATCATTTGATACGGCCAAAACGTACCCGTACCACTTCTTCTGGTACCTCTCATAAGTTCGTAAAACGCAAAATGACCATCCGATTCCTTTCAAACTTGGTACGTATTAATATTTCTATCAACAAAAGGTCTGTTCTTTTCTGATATCGGCCAACTCATTCTGGTACTTCCCCCAACAAAGCTAACATTTTTAAAAAACTTTAAGGGTCATAAAATGCGAATTGAGCATCCAATTCTCTTAAAATGTCACACATACCGAACTAAAGCAAGATCTGGTGTGAAGATGAAATATATAGGACATGTCCCTAAAAAGGATCAACATCTTGAATAATTATATCTGTCATAAAATGCGAAAAAAGCATCCGATTGTATACACATTTCACACATCTCAAGATCTGGAGTGAACATAGGATAGATCGATTCACTCCTTCTGATACCTCCTCCAACAACGGGCCAACATTTTGAATATCCATGAAGCTCATAGAACGCTTAATGAGCATCCGGTTCCTTTAAACCTCGTCACACCTTTATATTTATATCAACACAAGATCTGTTGTGAATCTGGTAGATATCGGCTCACTCCTTCTGGTACCGACCCCAAAAGGACTCAACATTTTGAATAACCCAAATGATCACTAAAAGTGACTTGGACATCCGATTCTCTTCAAATTTCTCACATCGCAAATTTTCTACTTAAACAACATCTGGTTTGAAGATGGAAGATACAGGACCATTTGTTATGGTCCCTTCCCCACAACGAACCAAAATTTGGAATAACCCAAACTCTAATAATATTGCGAAATAAGTTTCAGATTCATTCTAAGCTTCACATATTTCAATATTTCTCCTAACACAAGATCTAGTGTGAAGATGAAATGTATCGGCTCCCTATTTCTGATACGTTATAATTAAATCTCTCATAGCTTTTCAAACTTTGTTTATCTAAATATTTCTCTACACCAGAGATCTAACGTGAATATGGAACTTATCGACCAACTCCTACAAGTCAAGTCAGCGATTTTCATCAAACTTCGTGCATCTCAATATTTCTGTTAACCATAGATCTAAGAGATATTTCGGTCTACCCTTTCTGGTTAAAATTTTAAACCCAATTCTTCCTATAGAATTGTACATAAGTGTCCGATTTTCTTTAAATTTTATTTTTATTAGTATTATATAAAGATTTTCCAGAAATGATCCCATATTATATATAAAGTACAAGTAGTAGTCCACATAGACCAAATCTGACACCTATATATGTAAACAAACAGTTATTGACTGAGGATACACATCTGTCGGCAACAGACGGGTTTGCTTATAAACGAGCTACGTAAAATCAATGCTCTAAGATTCAGAAATTCAGTTACCTTTCTGGTCTATATTTATTAGTGACGCCTAAAAGCAGGCAACATTTCTAAACAACATTATTTTTGTGTTTTTTTCTTGCAAGCTATTACATTTAATGGATCTAGTACGTCATTTTTATACCCTCATACCATACCATAGTATGGATGGTATATTATGTTTGTCATTCCGTTTGTAACACCTCGAAATATACATATTAGACCCCACTAAGTATATATGTATATATTCTTGATCAGCATAAAATTCTATGTCGATTTAGCGATGTCCGTCCGTCTGATCATCTGTCCGTCTGTGGAAATCACTCTAGCATCCGAACAAATTGGAGTATATTGATAACATTTTCCTCGAATGTATGTATGTATGTTATGTCTGCATGACTTTTGTTGTTGAAAATATGCCATGTATAGCCCCCATATAACGGTACCTCCCGATATTCGTTATTTTAATGATTTTAGCGACAGTATTCATCGGAATTGTTTCAAATTTGATATTTGATGTTCGTAATGGATACTACAGCCTAAGACAGAAAATTATCTGTGCAGGTCCACGTCTTCGCATAGCCCCTATATAACGGAACCTCCCTATATTCGGTATACTGATGATTTTAGCGACATTATTCACCGGAATTATTCCAAATTTGGTATTTGAAGTTTTTAATGGATACTACAGCCTATAACAGAAAATTGGCTGTGCATGTCCACGTCTTCGTATAGCGCCAATATGACGGTACCTCCACATATTCGGTATTTAGATGATTTTAGCTACGTTATTCACTGGAATTGTTCAAAAGTTTGTATTTGAAGTTTGCAATGGATATTATAGCCTAAGAGAGAAAATTGCTTGTACAGGTCTACGTCTTCGTATAGCCCCCATATAACGGTACCTCCCGATATTCGGCATTTTGATGATTTTAGCGGCATTATTCACCGGAATTGTTTCAAATTCAGTAATTGAAGTTTGTAATGGATACTACAGCTAATGACAGAAACTTGTATGTGCAGGTCTACGTCTTCGTATAGCCCCCATATAACGGTAGCTCCCGATATTCGGTATTTTGATGATTTTACCGACATTATTCACCGGAGTTGTTTCAAATTTGTTATTTAAAGTTCGTAATGAGTACTACAGCCTATGACAAAACATATTGTAAGCAGGTCCACGTCATCGTATAGTCTCCAATAACAGTGTATATATAAGTGGTGGTTTCCGAAAGTTTTTTTTTAATTTTTCAAGTTCCTTCCAAATGGTGGAGGGTATTAAAAGTTCGGCCCGGCCGAACTTAGATGCTTTTTTACTTGTTTCATGATCATGCAGTTGCGGAACTTCCTCGAATCAAATGCTATTTGTAAATATTCGAATACCGTACACCACATAGTGGTAAAGATATATAGCTATAGTTCCCATATATATGCTTCATCCGATTTGGGGTTTTAAGTCCCTCACATGCGTAATATGCACTCCATATGAATGATATTTGGTACCGGACTTCAGATATTGCTCGAAAATACCTCTGTCAAATTTTATCGAGATCGATTTAGATTAGGATATAGCTCCCATGTACATATATCTTCAACCGATTTCGGGTTAATTGTGCACCAAATAACCAATATCAGTCCAAATTTGGCATATCCAACTGAATTCTGTCTAAAAGCAAGTACATTCAATTTGGAGAAAAATCGGTTCATATATAGCTATAGCTTCCATATATATGTTACTTCCGATTTGGTGTTTAAGTCCCCCACATTCGTAATATGCATTCGACAACTATGATATTTGGTACCAGATATCTTTTAGAGCTCGGATCGCCAAGATTTGAATACAGCTCCCATATATATATCTTTAATCCGGTTTTAGGATTATTGTGCAAATAATTGCTAATATCAGCCCAAATGGAGTGAATTACGAGACTCCCATTTCCATTTTGTAGAATTCGGTTCAAATATATATATTTTCTAATATACATACACTCTATAGCAATGTTATTTGGTATAAAAGATAAAAATGTCTCCGTCAAATTTAGTGAAAATCGATTCAGAATTGGATATGCCTCCCATATATTAGTTCCCTCTGAAACCAAACTATAACTGCTCTAAAGCCAATTGTTGAAAGGTGGTATGATCTACTTCAAATAAATTCCTTTATTTCGGGACCTCTACTAAATATGTATAGTCGTGTAGGGTATCATGGTTATTATAAAAAACATGATTTTCCTCGGAAAACATGGATTTTTTAAAACCATGATTCAGGGAATCGGCTGCAGACTTGTAAAAATACTTGTTTTTTTTTTTCTTGTGCACATTTTCTATTTCGATAGGCTTCTATTTCTTCTTTTATATATATTTTGCATCTGTGCTCACTGCTTGATTGTTCATTGGCATAACTTTACTCGCAACATATGTATGTTCCTGCCACTGCTGCTGCTCTCTTTTTTTCTTCCATTCCCTTTGGGAAGTTTGCGTCTTCTTATAATAAATTTGATTTTCACATAAAT